GCATTATTTTAATTTTTAATACTCATTAATTGCTACACCTACAATTTCGTTCCATATAAACGCGGCCTATCTAAATGCATCGTGACCTTAATCGTTACTGGTTTTCCGGAACTATACAATGCATTATGAAAGATACGACAAAATAGAATAATGATAATATGAAAAAAAAAAAAACATTATATTATTATAAAGGTTTTAAACTCAAGACTAATGGTTTTGTAAGCGGCATGCATATAATCTAAACTGTGTTTTCCTTACAAAGTGCCGTAATCCTGTCTAAGAGAGTTATAATATTCAAAGTATAGGTACTCTTGAACTTCCAAGTACCTACCAGCAATAAAATTTAAAATAAAGCTACAACTTGTTTTCTCCGGTATCGTTTTTAGATCAAATACTCCGGCAATGATCAAATTGTATCGATAATTCGCAACAATAATGTTCGTTATATAATATTATACACATACGGACGACATAATATACGTATTGATAATATTATATTGTACGCCATATTATATTATTATGTAGGAAACAACACGAATTATTTTGACTTTGAATAATTTCTATAATACACGTTCAGCTTAATATATTTTAAAGTTTAAATGAATGAAATATCTTTTGTATTAATCAATTAAAAAAACATTTGGACCATTTTAATACGCCCATATTATTATAATTTCTCTCTTGATACTCTTTATAAAATCATTAAGTTAGGATCTCTTCTACCCTAATCAGCCTAATGAGGCAAACTTTTTGGATAAGCAAAACAGGTTAATAGAATAAACGATTTATTAAAATGAACATTTTTCAAGCTGATTTTTAATAAAATAAATAAATCTTTCTTTATTTTCAAGATTATCTCGTTTAATTATTCATTCTTTTCACCATCAAAATATAAAATTGAAAAAAAAATAGTACCTTATGCGTAATTAATTTTAATACACAAATACATTTAATTTTCAGAGTTACAAAAGATCAACGCGGCGCATTGATGTGTAAATACTTCATCACAATAAATAGATGATGCTATGACACCTATCCTAAAACTCCTCTAAATATTGTTCGTTTTTTTAGAAGCAAACAACAGCATTTTTACAAACTGAACCCTCTAAAAAGTGCACACACCTGAATAGAGGACAGCATTATTTTAACGTCAAAGAGTGCCCGGTATTTAGAGGTTTAACAATAACCTTACGAACGCAACAAACAAACCTAACTTTACCCAAATGTATTTAATTATTATAACGACGGTGAAATAAGAGAATATATTAAGTCAAAATGAGGTAACAATAATAATGTGTGGTTAAACTGCAACTGCGGGTTTTAGGTGATATCGAGTATCGACGTTTACGTTCCGGACATGAAAGGCGTTTGGTATAAAACGTTGTTTCCAGAACTCGGTTAGAGACATTTATTTTTGTGAAAACTATATTGATGAAAACCCAAAACGAGAGTAAAACCGTTCGTTTGAGGTCATCATAAAAGTATGTATTTTAATATACGAAGCCCATTAGTGAGGCCAGAGAGCGTTAACTCAAATTATCAGTGTACTAAATAACGGTGTGAATAATGATGAGTATTTTCTTTTGTAAGCAACAACACAGTATTATAGTTTTGAATTTTTTCAAAAAAAACTTTTCATAACATTTCTTAAAAATAAATACATACTGGAGATCTGGTCTCTCTTGTATAAACTACTGATTTGTCTGAATATTATTTATAGTAAAATTACCAAAATAACAATAAATGATAAATGAAACACCAAATGAATACGAACGAACGAAAAAACTCAAAGTCGATTAATTTTGAACGCCAAGGGCTTCGTAAAGATCTGTATTGATTATTAAATACAGTACCTTTAATCTCTCTCTCTCTCTCTCTCTCTCTCTCTCTTTCTCTAGTCGCGCTTTAGATACTCCACAATAACACTACTTACACAGTTACACAAATGGTATTTCAACAAACACCAAAAACCATTAAACCATCCAAAAAAATACCTTATTCACTATATTACCTCGTAGTCAAATACCCGGGTCTTACAATAACATACAATAACATGGTCACAAATACAGAGTGATTCATCAACCATGCTCACATCCTGCTATGTGTACGTTTGCCAATATTTTAATCAAATTGTGATTTTTGGAGCTTCTAATTACACTTAAAGATAATTTTATTCAACAATTCTTAGAATTGTTTTATATCATTCAAGGAGAATCCAATGGCGATACAAACTTCTTTTTCTTTTCAAATGAAAAGCGCCCTTTTTTTACTGTACTTTGTTACTTGGGTGATTTTTTTCGACGGGTCTAAATTTAAATTCCAACGAGTGACGAGTACTAGAGATAATGGTTCTTGATTGTTATGGTTCGACATAAAATATAAAAATATATGTAATATTTAGTCTATATAGTACTCTTATCACATATTTTATTCGAACAATTTTTAAAAACTAAAAAATTGCAGATCATATATTTATTATTAAGTACTATTATTTTCATATATATTTTCAAATCATCATAATATACCCATATCAAACCTATTATTATGGGCTATTATCCTCAATATCCTTAGTACATAAAGTATTAGTTTGAATTTAAATTTAGATACAACAAAATTTACAAAAAAATTCAGTTGGTTGATAAATTATAGTAAAAACACGTGGTTCTTATATTTTAAAAAAAATAAGTTTGAATCTCCACGCTTTAATGGCATGAAAAATCCAAGAATTTTAAAATATGGTCGTACAATTTTAAGCCTAAAAAATTCTAAAAATCAGATTTAAAATAAATAAATTATTGTCAAAAGCAAAATTGGTGGTGAGCATCACTAGTAAAACGCCCTATACAGTACACAAGGAAATTCGCTAATTGAAAAATAACCGTCTCGATAGCTATAACAGAGAACCAAGGATGGACGAGGTGTTTCTTAAAATACTTCATTTCGAATTGAAAATGAGTGCAAATAATATAATCGTCGATGTTTGTTATATATTTCCTGTTAAATTGTTGCGAGATGGAAATCAAATCACTACAGTTGTAGTATGATGGTCGGAAAGATATTATTATAAACATCATATGTTATATTTTGGCTTAAATTTACGAAATTTATATCGGAAATGATATGGTTTTTTCCGGATGCGTTTGTATGACCGTCCACCCGTGTATATTATATATATATATATATATATATATATATAACACGTCATACCTATATATATATATATATATATATATATATATATATATTACGGAAGAAAAATGGCACTGCACATATCGTTCCACCCCAACTGTTCGTAAGTATTATATGACGTCATACGAAAGTCGCAAAACGGTTCATTAACATATATATACCTCTGACACTAGTTATCCGGTGCGTGTACCGACGGCGGTGGCGGCGATGGTAGTGGTGGCCAACGCCGTCGTATGCGTATACCAGATAATATATACCCCAACCCCATGTAGGGGGTGGTTTTCTTCCGCAGTCTTTATCCGTCGCCGGGTTTTATTATGATAATTACACCGCAAGGTGCGTCGGCGTACATTATTATGTGTTTATATAAATTATTATTTGCAACCGGATGATTTATACCATGTTGGCGCAATGTAATAATTCATCGGGCGATGCCAAGGCCATGCGGAGCTTTAGAAATATAAATGAAAAAACCGAAATCATTCTTTACTAATAGCATACACACGTCCCCGAACACAACGCAAAACTTGGCCTCGCGCGAAAGCCGATATATTTCTGTGTGGTTGTCAAACGCAGTTAAAATCAACCGTTATATAGCTAGGTAGGTAGTGTGATGCCGCGGCGGTGGCGTTCATAAAATTAAAAACCAACACCTGGAAAAATGAATCGGAAACCCTACACACATATATAGACGATAAATCTCGAAACTATAAATCACATTCGTCCCAATGCAAAACAATAGGCATCGGAATATAAAGGTTATTCGAGCTGTTGTCATATTAAATACACATATTTCATGCTATATATTCTACGTGTGCGTATCTGCAGTTGTATTTAATTAACCCTCTTGCTTAATTTGTAGATAAAATTATATTTTTACAAAGTATTTAATTAATCACAAGCACGCAGCATTTTTTTTATTTTGATCAAAGAAAAATGATTTTACCTTTGTAATAATATGATCATTTCATCAAATACATATGACATTACATTTTCGTTGTATGAATTGTTTGATCCGATCGGCCATTCAAACCACGTGCGTTAAGACATCATACACGAAATGTTTAAATTGTGTGAATAATAAATTAATCACACCATAAAATTCAAGTACACAATAATATTATCATATATTCATATATTGACTACAATGGGCAATATTTTTTAACCTTGAAAATTACAGTTTTAAATTGTAATATAATACGATAATGTCTACATCGTTTGTGTTTCCAACAGAAAAACTAATACATTTCAAAATATTATTTGAAAATTATACATTTCATATTAGGTAGATATATTATATCTGGGTACTAATATTGTATTTAAGATAACAAAGAAACGTTTTGAGTACCCAGTAAGAGAATCCACTGATGGCATAAATGGACAAATATTAAATTTAGCAACAATGGTCTGGACACATCACAAACATGCCACTCTTAAGAAATATTAAATATTGTCATAATATTATGTATTATGTATGCATATACAAAAATGTTTATAATACACACGATATTACGAATTACATGTGACAATAATGGCGTAGGGTTTATGTTGGTTCTTGTGCGACCCACACCATTTTTGGTATACAAAGACGTTCACACTGAAAGAAACTCAAAGGGGGAAGTTGTACTTTCAAACCTCCCCGTCACTGTGCAGTGCATATAGGTACCTTTATTTTGTATAGGTATACCTTTAAAGATAGAAGTAATAATAATAATATATTTATTTTAAATTACTTTTAACTTTTGAGGATAATAGTAACTTTTGTTTGCAAGTGTACATTGTAGTATATTATTGTTTTTATTGACTTACAGAATGTGTTGGCTTAAGGGACTTGAAAATCCACGTCCCAGTGGCAGTGCGATCTGGATCCATACTGAGAATGAACTGTACATACGATTTGGAAAATACGGCACTGTATTCAATAAAATGGTATCTGAGGGATCAAGAATTCTATCGATACGTGCCAAAAGAATCGCCTCCCACCCGTGTATTTCCAATGCCTGGAATTATAGTTAATGTGAGTAAAAATAAATGATTTTAACCCCCTTTTATACTCAATTACCGTATTAAACTGAAAATCGAATGACGATTTAAAATAATTGCATTCAAAAAGTCCAGTTTAGTAAGTTCAAGAGTTTAAATTTCAATTGATTTTGAACTAGATATATTTGGAATCGATTTCAGAAATGTAATATTTTATTGACATAGGTAATTTTTACTCATATTTGTATTCAATACTTGATGAATTAAATTATTTATTTGAAGAATTAATGAATTATTATTAAATTTGAAGAATTAATGAATTATTATTAAGGAACAATTTATATATATAATTTATTAAGTACATTATCTAAGTAATAATTTTATAAATTTATTAAATTAGTTAATTATTTAAAAGTTTGTATATTTAAAATTTTGATTTGTGAAAATACTCAGAAATGTATTCTGCTTTGAAATATATGAAATTTAAAATGGGGAAAGTAGGTAACCATTCTGCTGCACAGTAGCTGTCGAGTGTATCTCGTTAATTGTCATTGAGTAAGTCACTACAATGTATGTGTTAAATTTGAACTCAATGATTAATCATTGCAAAAGAAAAACGATTATGAGTGGAGAAAGTCTGTCAGTCTAAATATTACTAAGTATATTTCATGATATGGTCTTAGATGTAATTGCTATTAAAGTAATAATATTCATTGTACTATTGTCTAATAGTATTTATAGTAGGTTGAGTTAATTTTTTCCGAAAACATTGTATTTATGTAATATATTATTAATACTTAAATGTTATAAAAGTATACATTATACTATTTAAATAATTTATTATTTTTATTAACTTTTGAGTGAAATTTGACAACATTTATCAAAATCACGATCGTTTGCAAATTATTTTGTAGTTTAAATTCATAAAATTTATTATTTTAATAGTTTAAGTTTGAAAATGTAATACATGTTTCTTCAAAAGTGGTTCTTACAACAAACTCAAAATATTGAACATACATAATATATTATACAATTTTTTTTATGACATTTAAAGTTCAGATTTTTACCGAATTCTAAATTCAAACTAAAAATATTGATTAATGACCTCTACCAATGTTTATTTTTTTGTAATTCATAAAAAAATTTTATCTTAGGGACTTGAGGCTTATCACCATTAAGACGTATAACTGTTTTAACTTTTATTAATGTCTATTCATATACATTGCAAATTTCCAAAACATTTATATTAATTCAATGTCATTAAATATAATACATACCACGAACATTGATTAATTATACTTATAATTTAATCAATGCCACAAACCTATGTCTACACGGTTTTACAATGACGATGATATTGACTTACTTATAAGCTATAAGTTTATAACAGTAATATAATATTATATAAAATTATAATCATTATTTTATAATGCAAACGATATTCTTATCAACAATTTTTCAACTCCCTCCCTGAAAATTAAAGTATGTGTGTATAAAATTATTATCATTATTATTTATCAATTATGCTGTTGGAAATCCTGACTCGAGATTTGCAACCATCTCCCCATCCTTAAGAAATTGAATTCTAAATAGGTCCCTGTACCCAGTATTAGATAGGTACTAAAAATTGAGCCACACCGTTTATAATCCAAATAGGTAGGTATATGCAATGATTTTAATTTAAACTTAACACATTCATAAAGATGACTTAATTAACAACGATTTACCTATACACTCGACATATTTTGTGACTCAGTAAAATTAATGCCCTGATTTTTTATTCCACATTAAGTAATTTATTGGTTTATAATACATGTTTTTAATCGTCATCAATTCTAATCATATAAATTAATTCCAAATAATGAAATTAAATATTTGTTTTGACTTCATTAATGGGTGGGTTACACACACGAATAAATTAATCGATAACGCCATCTAGACATGGGGACATTACTTTTGATTTTATATAATAGCCGAGCAAGTTTGTGGTTTAGTTTTAATTATATTTGTGCACGTACCGGTTCATTTAAATAACTTCTATAGTCTTACATTACAATGCCAGGTTTTTACATTTATTATTGAACTAATGCCAAATATGAATTTCTGTGCCATTTGTTTTGTGTATACACATGTGCATAACAAATACAACGAGTGATTAATTATTTTAATATTTTATGTACAGTACCTATTTAGAAAAGAAAATATTAATATATATTTTTGTACAGTATTATATTTACACGTGAGGTTTTATATAAACATACGAGATAACGTCATACAAAGGCATATATTCAAAGGTATTCAATTGTATACAATTGCATACAATTGCTTGAGGGAGGTTGCATGTAGGTAACCAACCGACGGACGCCGGTTATAACAACTAATTTTTAATTTCAGTCTTAAACAAATGATAGGTAATTACAAATTTATATTGCGCCATTTCAACAACAATATTATATTATTGTTATTTGTGGCACAAGCTTCGTAACGTTATTACTGACCACTATAAAAAATTACGAATAAAAATTCATAAATACTATTAGTTTGGTCGGATTGTACAGGCAATAATATATTGTATTGTGATGAGATTTACGATTCGTTTTCACAACTAGTTTTCGACCATAATCATTGATAAAAACTACAAAGGGAAAATATAGAGAGAAAGAGGGCACTATTGATAAATGTGATCTAATAAAATACAAAAGGAAGGGATTATGGTCTATAGTGTTCAACAACTTCTATATCGAATCAAGTAAAAGTTTTATAAAGCTCCGTTCTGTTAGACTATATGTACAATGAATAGAGCCAGTTTTATATTTCATTCGATTTTTGACGATTGAACTCTTTATTAGATTGTTTTTTTCCTTTCACTTGTATTGATTCATGTATCGTTTCTGAAAACCCATTTTGTGTTTAATTTAAATCCAAATAGGGTTAATAATATTGTATGAGTGTTGTGAGTTTGTAATAACTTACATTGTGTCTAATTTTATGTGCGCGGTACAAAAAATATTGCAATTATTGATGAACATCTTTAATCCTAATAGTCATTAAATAATAATATAGTCATATAATAATATATTATGCAGCATTAAAAAAACAATATAATAATAATAAAACTATACCCAGTCGAAAAAATTTTTAATTACTCAAAAAAAAAATATGAACTCTATTATAAATATTAATATACATTTTACTATTAACTTCACCAATCAGTCATTCTCGGTAATGACTAGGTAATCACTAATCATTATTGACTATTATTGTTATAATCGAAAGTAACTACTTATTATGTTTATTACCTACACGGCTACACTTCTCGTATAATTTTATCATCACAACAGTCAACAATACACCGTCCCTTTGCTGCCCTGTTACTTTAATTATTTTTACAACATTAATTAATAATAAAATGTTTAGTAGAATATAGAATAAAATATTTATCATAGTTGCACAAAGGGTTTCCCTTGTTCTTGGCTCTATTTCTTGGACGCCTTAACTAAACAGTTTGGTTCCATTAGTTGAACTAGTTTCTGACTTGTATTCGGTTTGGTCTGGTTAAAGTTGTGCGTATCATTGTTAATTATTTTAAACTTTTAATATGAGATACACTTCTTGTTATTTGTTTACTATCCTTCTATGCTTTTATCACTGAAGTGGAAAAAAAGACGCATACATTATCCTTTTTCAACCTCGCCATTGTGGCAATCGAACGAGACTGTTAATTGTGTTTATTCAATTTTAGATCTTATCATAATTATTATAATTTTTTTTTTTTTTAATTAAAAAAGTCCGAGTATATAACTATGATAACTCGACAATTACAATAAAATAAAATAAAATTACAAATTACAAAATACATAATTATATAATTACAACAATGAAATATTCGGTTGGGCAATATTGACACTTGACACAAAAATGACTAAAATAGATAGGTATAATCAACGCGTGTACAATATTTAATTTATTTATGATTTTATTACTTCAATCATATTATACTACTATACCATGATTTATGACCTTGTTATAGGTACTACATATATATATATACATGTATATTTTATTTATATAACTTATTACTTATATACACACTATTCGAAGTATAAATTTGATACATTGAACTAAAGAAATTATTTTTTTCAGAAATACGTAAAATCTATAATTGACAAAACCAATACATTAGGTACCCCGTCTATGCGTATCAGTGTTTGGAAGAAACGAATTCCTTTTTATAAAAAAAGAACGAGAAAATGAACGAGTTCTTTTTTCAAGGAATAATAACAAAATTTTTCGTTTCTTTAAAGTTCCAATTTAGACAGATATGTAAATAATTCAAATTAAAATACTTTTTTTCTTAGTGTGTATATTTCCAAATAGTGGTAGTTATCGAGTATCGAAGTTAATCGAATAATTTAATATTAATTTATACTGTTTAAAAATAATAAATTTAGACGAATGAAAGAAAAAAAATATGTTCAATATTATATTCTTAAATTAAATAGTAAATTATAAATGTCCTTGTAGGTATGAATAAGTATAAATAAAAAGTTAAATACCTAAATTTAAATATGAAAAAAAAACATTGATGATCAAACAAGATTTTACTTGGAACTAAAAAAGGAACTCGTTCATGTTCCAAAGAAATGGCAAAGGAAAGAATTTTTTTTTTTAAAGAACGAGGAACAGAACGCGCATTCCTTTTTATAAGGAACTTGCCAAACACTGAATTGCATGGTATGCATAGTATAACATATTAAAAGAAGATAATAATTAGACTATAAAGTATAAACACATTAATAATATTACAAAAGAAATATGAACATGGCCAAAAAAAAAAGATATGACTTCCTAGTAATTAAGTTTATTAACTACTTTATAGTTTATACATCCATATCTACTTTTTGGTTCTAAGATAAACCATTATTCATTTAAAGTATATTTATTTTATTTTAAAACTAGTCTACAATTCTAACGTTTATGTAATGTTTGATGGAAACACCAAATATCTGAGTAAACCAATAAATACTTTTTAACAGTGAATGGAAAAGTTTGTAATCTTTTTCTTTAGAAATTAACTGCAGCTGATGTACCCAGCTAAAACGTGATATGTAGCTATTCCGCAATCACATTATTTGAATTCCCATGTAATTTGCATAAGCACTTTCAGTTAACAAAAAAAAAAAGAATTATTGAAACAATTCATTGAATCAAAGCTTTAGACCACTTAGTTTTTCTACACATACAGATGTAAAAGTAAATTTTCCATTAACCTATTTAAATATTTAAAACTCCTTCAGAAACTGTAGAGATTGTTGTGATAACGTTTTTTTTTTTTTGTACCTAATTTGTATTATTTAAAAAAAATACCATGCACTTTATGCATACACTCGTTTATTTAATGTTGTCAATAAATTATGTAACAGTAATTCAGTTTATTTTTATCTAAATCCAACTATTTAAACCAACGTTTATATTATTAACATTATATAAATATAGTATTATGAAGTTCGGGCTCATAATAATGAATATTACATGAAATGTTTACGTATATAGCTAGATAGGTACTCAAACGAATAGGTAGGTACACCGTACACTACAATTGAAGAAAAAGTTTATCACTTAAATAGTCGTTCAAATAAAGTAAAAACTTTATTTCAGTGGTGCTATGTTATTTAAAAAAATTGAAAACGGCTGCATGAATATAGTAGACCTTTTGTAGTTTTATACTTAAAAACTGACGGTTTTTAGATTTAGATGTATATTTTTTTTGTTAGATTTTCTGATAATTTTACTCAAATTTGATAGACACAAACACAAGACATTGCCATGAACAAAAACTATACAACTTTGTTAATTTCTCTAAACGTTGAGTGAAATTACTAGCAATTACATTGGTTGTTAATATAATTATTTATCTCAGAAACTGTATCAAAATAAAGTGAACAGGTTAACTACAGTTCTCAAAAAATGATATAAAAATTTTACACAAATAACTTTTATTTTCATTTTGAAGTAGATACTTTAAAAGAGTAGTAAAAACGGCATACTTTGACTTTGAAAAATAAAATAAGAATATTTTTATAGTAAAATAAAAATTTGGAAAATGCAATTACATTATTAAATACATTATTTACTTTTCTCGTGTATCTGGGAAAAGTGATCCTCCTCCCCCCCCCCCAAGTTAAAACAATTTAAGTGAATAAATTATATTATAAGCTTTTTTGTAACAACAGTTATTTTTGATTGACAATTTTAACATATTATTACTCTTACATTGTATTTATAATTATTACAATTCAAGATCAATATAATGTATAACAAAATAATTTAAAATATACTGACAGTAATAAAAGTAAATCACGTAAAACAACTAAATAAATACATTAACTTTTAATCAAAAAACTTCACATATTAACACAAAATTAGTTTAAATATAAAATCATAAATATTGTATATTATTTGTATATTAATTTCACTTTGTCTGGATTCATTTTTTCTTTGATAAAAATATACTTTTTTATTTGCAAACCCTTAACAACATTTAAGGCTTCTTATATAAAATTATTTTTCTCATTACAGATGTTCTTTTAAATAATATACAAGCTAAACATTTTTACCATTAATGAATTAATAGTTTTGTAACTTGCTTTATTTTCGTAGTACAACTAAGTGTAATTAAATGTTCTTATCACTTTCTAAGTCATGTCTAAGAGAGTGCCACACCCGAATGTGTTGTCTTCATTTAGTGTTTAGCTCCATTTCCAATTTTGTTTTGTTGGTTTTAATATTAAAGTGAATACGTCGTTACTTCGCTTTTTCCGTTTTTAAGTTTTTTCGATATTTAATTTTTTCAAGCGAGACAGGTACAAGTTACAAAACTATATTAGTAATGTATATTATATCATATTAGTTTACTAAATAATTATCATAAATATAATTCGTATTTTACTTTTTATTATTGGGAATGTATTAGTTACTCATGGTGAACATTATAATATTTTGATTACCAAACTATGTAGTCATTAAGTTTATACACTACGATACAATTCATTTATATGACGTATACAAATTACAGATTAAAAGTTTAAATTGCTCAATTTGCTGAAATGTAATTTTGTATTTAGGTACAAGAATCCGACGAGAACAAAGTAACCATTGTGAACGTCCAAAGGGAATTGACGGGATATTATAAATGCGAAGTCTCAGCGGACGCACCGCTGTTCCACACCGGTATTAAGACAAAACTCACATACGTCACTAGTAAGTAAAATATTTTTTTTTAAGCAGATTAAACTGCTGTATAATAACTATAGGTTTTGAGTGTACTTCATCAGTGACCAATTCGTTGTAATTCAAATTTAAAGTTAAATCATTTATACGAAAAACAATTCTGAGCTAATAAGACGAGTAGGTCAGAAAATATTTAGTAAATAATAAATACAAATATTTGGTAAACATTTCAACTTTACGATTGTTCCTTTCTGAGTTTTAACCTAACAAAAAACAAAACTGGTAAGAAGGTACAGTTGAAAACTGTTGCTACGTAAATAGTCCCATTTCTTACTGTTTTTTGTTAATTTTCAGATAATTACCAATTGGCCATTAGGATATCCCTACTTTTAATTCCCGCTTCCCCACCTTTTCTTCCAAAATACTTACTAGTAAAATTTGGTACCACAAACAAACACCCAAAATTGAAGATAACAATAAACTAAATACTCCAAAACGTGATGAATGATGACAAAACACATTTTAAAAAAAATAAAAACAATTATCTTTATAAACCCAATATATTCCTTGCTCCGCTGCTGAATTTTAACTGTTAAAGTGGTTAGACCAATATTCTAACAACATAAGCAAATTAATATGTACCTGATATCGTAGTATTATTTTTTTTAAAGTGCATAAAATACAAATGATAATTATTTTATACTGTACCCTATGTCCCCGTCCCTTGCAAGTTGTAACCCGCTATGCCCGGAATAATAATAATAATCATATTATTATTATATTCTTACTATTGCAAAACCATATTACAACGTGAAAGGAAATTCCAAAGTTATTAATACGCACACTTCTGCAGTTCTGCAAAATGTTTAATTATTACATCGTTGTTCGACGACTATATGTTCCATAATATTATATTCTATTTAATATGTGTGTATATGTGTATATTCTACAGATATACATATATATATAGGTATATACATCATGAATAGCGTTTGAGCATATTATTATAAAGCACAAAACCGGGATGATACCATTGTTATGTGTTATATATTATATATACATGTATTTTGCGCATATAGTATAATGTGTACGTATTTACTACTACTACTACTGTTGCCACCATCACTTTACACTACCGTTTCCAACTGGGTAATAATAATAATAATAATAATAATAATAATAATAATAATGATAGTGGAGGTGTTGGTGGTAGATGTGGAGGTGGCGGTGGCGAAATTTCTCTATTGTCCACGCCCGTCCCTTCGGAATCGGTCTGTAAGGATCGTTTACATTTACAATTATTATTATTATGATTATTGTTTTAAATCCTAATCCACGTCGGACATCCAAATGTCAACATATCACAACCGCTAGCTCGACTGATAGATCGCATATACATACGGTTTAAAACGTGCTCTCCAAAAATCAAAACGAACGAATTTAATCCAACGCCAAGGTTGTTTAAGGAGAGTCCAATCAGAAACAGCACAATAAAAAAATAAATACATTTCATCACCAAATCTAAGTGAAAACATATGAAAAAGTTTTCAACAAACTTTGGGGAAAAACTACTGAAATTATTTCAACGAAAATGGTTCGTTACGATTTTCATTGAAACTCCAGCATGTTTTGGAGACTATGTCCTAATATACAAGTCTACCCAAAGGCACAATAATCTTTATATCAAACCTTGACATATATTTTTCATATCACTTTTGCGATAAAAATAGGTAGATCTTTTTAGGGAAAACTATATACTATGTAGATATCATTCACAATATTATAAAATGTGGATAATTTTGATAATAGGTAAATATTATAAAGCGAAAAAAAACGATATTAAACATAATACAACAATGTTAACGTTATTAAGTTCTTTTTTTTTTTTAGTTCAAAGAGAATTATTTTTAATAATTTAACTATTATTATTATATATTTTATAGATTTATGTACCACCTTACTACCTGTATGACTTTATACCTAATACTGATGTACTTTAATAATTATTAGTTAATGTTATACATTCACGAAAATCAATTTGTAAATGTAAGTACTAAGAAGTACTTGTTGGTATGTACTAAATGGTATTGTAAAAGTAAATATATTTGATTTAGAAATCTTATACAAGTAAACAATTGAATTTTTCGGTAATGTTATCATGTAAGATAAATTGACAAAAAAATTTCTGATTAATTTATTCAATTTTAAGACTTTTTAATTCGTGTTTCTAAGCTAGAAATCCAACGCCAAGGTATGAAAAGAAATTAGCAATCGAATGCCAGTTACATTTTACATTGTTCGAATAGTATAACCAACTTGATCCGAACGATTTCTCGGTATAGTAATGGACCAAAGAACTGTGTATATTTTTTGATATTATGAATAATGTATGAATATTAATTCAAAAATATAAGTTTTGATGAAAAAAAACCATCTGAACACTCTCAGATGTACATTTGGGAACGCATTACTGTCAAAGAAATTCAGACTTGCTGCGTATCGCTTGTGTATGCATGAAAATGTTCCGTCCCTTTTGTAAGTGCCCGTCAAGTTTCCTAGGGTATCATAAAAATCTATACCATAATACGTCGAATATTCGCTTCGAGAAATGCATACTAAATGTTTTTTAGCCTTCGTGATACTTAAACTTGTTCACGACGACGTGTTCTGTGTAATTTCGTACAACTTTTAGTTTCTGGAAATAAAAAATAACTGGGTCAGTTAAACATTGCAGTGACATGATTAATGAAACGTATTGAGATAAGCTACAAAAAGCCGGACTAAATCGGTTAATGGATTGAATCATTTTTCTAGCGTCTTCCCCCCCCCCCTAAAAAAAACAGGGGAAGTAGATCATATCATGCAACGTTGCGTTAATAATTTCAAAATTTGGTGATGCACGAGTTTTTTCCAATAATGCTGAAATATTGAATACTAATAAAAAAATAAATAATAATTCAAGTTATTACATTGCACGTATTGTAATGTTGTCCAGGAAATACAAAAAAAAATTTTAACTATTTGAAGATACGATGATATTGTTATCATACATTTTTTATTTCCATAATTATAAGTAGGTAACAAAATGATGGCAAGTCAACATTGAAAGTTGGTAAAGAACAACTCCCCCAGCACAAGTAAATAGCAGTAAATATACAATTTTTTTATGTCTTATTATATTTATGAAAAAATGGGGGGAAAATGTCCGCATCGGAACATTTTTCGGGGGGAAAATGTCCTACTACGCCAAAAACAGTCGAGGGGAAAATGTCCGGGGGGAAATTGTCCGGATACCAGGGCGCATTACATGAAAGTATATATTTTCTTTTAGTTAACCTACTTATATCTGTAAGTAAAATAAAATAAAATATATTCTTCGAAGAGAATTTAGGTAATTTATAAAATATAATACCTGTTATTAATTTAAAAAAAATTCCCATTAATACTGTTTTTGATTACTTTGATTACACTTAAAATTCTTACATAATTTTTAGTTAGGTAATTTTTTTCAAATTTCCAATTATTGTGTATAAAACTATATTTTATTTTATCATGACAGTCAACGATCCATATTGTATTATATGGTAAAGTACAAAATGTTTTTCAGAAAATGTTTATGTTTTATCGTCTGATTTTTGGTTAATAGTCAATTGTAGTTTATAGAAACGGAGTGATGCAATAAAAATACACAAGGGAAAAATAATTCTCACCACTCGTCTTGATACAACAAATGAATATAACTTTATTGACTAATTCGTATTATGTGTCGAAAGTTGAGCATTTATTATTTATAAATGCCCAGCCAAATATTTCAAACCATAATATTTACATGCGTCTCATACAAAAATCTTCTTCGTGTAGTTTTATTGTGTAAAAAGGAAAATATTTTTATAAAATTATAATATTCGAACTAGTAGTTTCTGAGGTATTAAATATTATAAACTAAAAATAATATAGGTTAGGAAAGTATGGTATGATGATTTGAAAATTAAAGTAATTAATATAAATCTACCACCACTTTATAGTTTATAAGCATTTCACAAGTATAATAAATACTAGATTCATTAAGTACTTGATTATTTTACATTTTTTGTAGTACCGTCACATTTAAGGACAATTATCCTAAGAATATACATTTTAACAGCTGTAACTGAATTGGTTGCCGTTTACATTTTTGATGTATCACACTGACCACTACTGGTCGAGTTGTTTCACACTTTTCGCAGTAAGGTGGCCAATTACACATATTTCTCTTCCCACATTTACAGGTTGAAGACTGAAAATATGATAATTGTTATTAGTAATAGAGAAGACGGGAACCAAAAAAAAAACTTTAATAAAATACCAATTTTAAACGGGTACCAGCTACTAATTCTACCAGAAGGAACTCGGGAACCAATTCGGTATCAGCTATTTTAAAACCCAGAAACTCAGAAATTAATTATTAGTCGTTCGATTTTTATTTAATTCTCATTTGAAAAGTTTATACCATCACACGATACTAATTAAATGGTGCACAAATCTCAAGTATCCTAAAATATGGAACCCATATTTAAAAAATCCAATAATCAGATTTCTAATAGCTTCGTTATTAAAGAAAACAGTGAGTGGGCATGGTTGGTGAATCATTCTGTACGTCGGGTATATTATTATGAAACTTATGAGTAAGATACAATATGTATTCAGAAATAAATAAACATATTTTATTCCAACAAAATTTTGGTACACATTGTAATGTATGTACCGTATACTAATATTTACTCCATCATTATACTATTTCAGATGAACCGTCATTCCCTCCGACGTTGCAGTCGAACAGAATGAAGTACTCAGCGGGTGATCTAATTAACGTCAGTTGCATTGCAGGCGAAAGCTATCCAGCTGTCAACATTAGTTGGTTCTTAAATAATCAAACGGTATTTTTCCATATTTAATTTAATTTATGTCATTGAAACACAAATCCACTTGAAAAGTTAAAACGTTCCGTTTTGTTTCGTGATTGTTGTTAATTGATAATTATCATTTAAGTTATGTACTATGTACATTTGAAAAACAACACATAATTATAAATACTATGATATATGTGTGTTAGAAATTGAACTATTTTTTAAAATTAAAATTTATGCTATTAGCATTGATTAAATATATTATTTTAATTTATACTTACTTAATATATTATATTTGATCAATCTTATTAGGATTTGAAAACTAAAAAACCATTTGAAAAAAACTCATAAACAAATACTTACCTAGATAAGTTTTAAAAAAAATCACTATCTAATTTCTATTAATTAAAATGTTTACAAAATTCATTGTTTATATAAGACATAATTCGGTAGTGCATACCATTTAATGTATTGTATACATTTTAAATATATTAATTAATTTTAAGATGAAGACTCAAAATAAGTTTGATATAATATCACAAAATTCAGTAATTTGTTACAATATTGGAATTTTTAAAATATCTCAGTCGTAAAGCATATTTAAAATAACAAACATTATTGCTATCCATTATTAAAGTACATATTATGCTTAAGACAACAAATGGTTTTAAGATAAACTGAAATAAACATGCCAGAATCACCACAGGGCAAGATCTGAAAATGTAAATACGTAATCTGATTTGTATTGAGGTAATACTTAAATAAGCTATACTATAAAATATATAATAGACTTTAATATTTTTATTAAAAACAACTTCAAAGAAAAACACTTTCGACTAAGTACATATTATTATGTATTTATAATACCTTAAGGTTGCAAATAATTAACATCATTTTGTATAAACGAGAATTCAAAAAGGTAATATTTAATTCAATTTTAAAAATATGATTGCTGGCTTTAAAAGTTGTATTTCGTTTACTTTCGGTAATTACAATATTTTATTTATACCTAGTTAATATAATTTTTGATTTAAAAGTAAATAATGATAAATTAACCTGGTAAATATTATATTATATAATTTAAAGTACCTATATTAAATAGTAATAAAGGAAAATATTCCATTATTTTGTATACCTAACAAAAACATTGATAACACAATTGTATTCAAAACAAAACAATTTATATTTTTATTCGTCGATCTAAAGTTTTTATCACTTTAATCAATTCTCTTTGCATTATTAACAGTTTAAGTTAAAGTTTTTTTTAAATCTCGAATGCTAAAATATGGAAGAAAATGATACAGTCAGTAAGTATAGTATCAGTATAAAGAAAAAAGAAACATTTTCTTCATTTCAAATTTTAAACATTTATACAAATTTAAAACTCAAGCCACATTAATATCAAATAAATATTCAATATAATCACTTTAAAGTCAATTACAGCTGTATATTTTTAGTATAGAAATAAATCCCAACACCGTTTAGTTTAAATTATGGCTAAAAATGTTACAATACATTATTTAAATATATTAATTTATACAGACAACTATAGCATTAATATTGGTGGTCATATGTAAATTAAATCCAAAGTCCCGTACCTTAAATCGTACAGGTATGCCTATTATATAGGTATGCATGTTTGAAATAAAACAAAATGTATAGTATTATAATGAATTATAATTAAGACACTATATAGGGTAATAAAGTAAATACTTTGGATTAAAGATTCAGAAAGCCCCGTAGCTCCCAAGTGTCTTTGTCTAAATGCAATTCCAGCCGCCAAAAAAAGGCGTTTCAGTTGTATACACGCAAGTTTCAATAGCAATAGTGTTATAAGTGTTTGAAATTAATTTTGTTTCAATATTAGGTACACCTATCTCATAAATCATAGTATACAGTCATTAACCATATAGATAAACACAGCTCTAGAAGTTCATACTAGAAAAAACAACATAATTTTGCAATTATTAGCTATCTAGAAGAACATGGTAAACAGAAGAACACCTTTAGAACACTGTAGAATCACACAAACACACAACCTGGTAAACCCATTGATGTATTATTATAATACTAGAATGTCAAATTAGTGGGAACAAGCGCGAAGTCGGAGTGAAGAGTATAGCTAGGATTTAATAGTTACATAAAAGTTAAAAAAGCGTTCCTCCTTTTCGTCAATAAAATTCAATAAGTATAATATATCGTATGTCCACAAAAACAGGATACCTACCTCTATAACTCAGTTACTTGGGTTACTCAGTACTCTGTACATATTTAAAAATTCTGTTTGGGTGACATGAGACCAAACTATTGGATCATAAATTCCTATGACTTACAATTTGTTAAGTCTTATATTTTGGGCTGCTTTTGTGCAACTTCACTTTTGTTGCGTATCTTGTTTTCTCTGACACACGGTATATTGTATACGCCTATAATACATCTATTTAGATGCAAATGTTTATAAAACTTCAGTATCAATAATCTCATTAGACAACCCTTTTTCTATAATCATTATCATGACAAGATCACTAACTCTGTTTTTGTCGACCTTAAGTTAATTTTGATGATTCTCCTTATACATGAACTCGTACAACGTATACATCCAAAATATTAAGTGACATCGTTGATTATAAATAATAATATTTATAATATTTATAATCAATTATGGTACTTAATTATTAAAAACTTTACCCATTGAACCCATCGTCACCCATGGTTTTTTTAATTTTAATCAGGAGGAGCCAAAGTAATAACATGGGGGGCCTAAAAACGTCTAGGTTTGGGCTAAGCTCCCCCATCCTCTAGACCCACTAGTTAAGGCAATTTTAAGGTGCCTACGTATCTTCTTTTTTATGGATTACCTAATACCTATATTATATTTATGTGTAGAAATATTACATTTATACGTAATATAAATGTATTATATTAAATATAATATGTAATATATGTATTTATATTCTCATTTTAATTTCTCTAATTCGCATTCAGCAAACAATGGTAATAAAATTGTCGTTTGAAATGCACATATTGCCAGTAGTAGTTTTGGGCGCCTTTACTTTTATTGTCGTGTAACAACACTGGTGGCGACCAACTATAATAATTAATGTTTAACATTCTACCGTGGGACAATAAAATTACAGTCGAAGGCTAAAAACTAAATCGCGCCCACTGAACCAATAATTGCATTCAACGCGCGTAAATGCATTACGGAAACGCATCATTACCATTTGTCCGTATAAAGTCGTATGTAAAACTTGAAAATAATGCTGGAGTGTGAGTTATTATTAATCGTTGTAATATTCAAACAATTTCCATAATATTTTGACCCCATAAACTCCGGTCCGTCGGCGCAGCATTTTGGCCGCTGTCGAACATTAAACGTTCAAATACAAGTTTGTACAAACACAATTATCCTGTTAGGTACGCGATTGTTTTGCACCGTTGTAATTGCGAGCAAAATAAATACTTTTCAATCGTCCACTGCGGAGCTTCCTAAACACTCGGGTAAACAAACCGAAAAAAAAATCAGCGGCATCGAAAAGCGCGTCTGCTTTTAGTGTATAATAATAATAATTTGCTACCTGTTACTCGGTACCCATACACGTCATGTACGCCCGACTGACCGACCAAACTCGTACGTTTTAACAACAACAATATAATTCGAACACGAATATAATTATGTATCCACCTACCCATTCAGTATTTTTCGTTGCATTTGCCGATCACCACAAACTATAATAATAATTAATAATAATAATAATTACTAAACTACGACAAAATACGTTTCGACATATTCAAAGATTGATTCACCGTAAAGAACGATATTATATAATGTTCTCGCATTCTGCACGACTATTATATATTATTATAGTTTATGTAAATAATAATCGTGAATAAAGTGCATCATATATTATTATATTAATAAAAAGGTTTTCCTTTTATAACGTTCAAGGACGCGTTCTTTCCAAACTCTGAGTGAATATTATACTACTATAATACTACTACATGAGTGTTATGACTTAATGAGTAAGTACCAATAAGGCTATAACACCAATGTGTTATCCCGAGTAACACATAATTACTTAGGTGATATTTGAGTTACTTATTTATTGTGTTTACTTACCTATTATTACATAGATGCGTGATATTAATATAACAATTAGACTACAGATTGCATCATTATTATTTGTGCAAGCCATTCAAATAAAATTCTTAATTATTTTTTTTATCTAATGTAGTTGATACGCTTTGACTTTCGGTTAGTCTTCTTTTGTGTTGTCTAAAGCAAAACTTTTTTTTTACTATATTTTCAATAAGGTTTGTTATCATAAACAATTTTTTTCCTGCAAATACTATCATTATATATATATACTTTATTTTAATTAAAAAAAGATACATAATTCTATTTACCCATTATTAAGAGGATTATTCTTAGTTTATCTCATAAATAAATTTAACAAAGTGATAAAATTAAAATTAAATTACTTAATAAATGGGTATTTAAGTCTTAAATTGAAAACTTTTATATAATAAAACGCGAATACCCATAAATACCGACTTATGTTGTTTACCCAAGGCACGCTTTCGTTGCTCTACTCTCCTTTTTTTCTAAAATCGTACCCACATTTGATCCATTTTCCGGTATTTCATAAATCATAATTTTGAAGTTTATGTCCAACCTGTGAAGTATGGCTCATAAAGTCATAAAATCTTGGTACTATAAATTGATTTAAAACTTTAAGCCGTTGCTATAATCAAACAAATTCATAATAAATATACATAATATAACGTCAAAATTCATTGAATCAATTTAATTTCTGAGCAAAGCGAAAATGTTTTTTGTAGAGCGTTTCGATCAGATAATAATATTATCAGCACGTGGTATAGTAGTTCTAAAAGTACCCATGTTATTTATAATATGTTTTACTTCACAAATTTAGTATAGAAAGATCACGAATATATCAACTAAACTTGTACGCCACTGAGCCTCTATTAAGGGACTTCGTAACTACATGTGTTGACGTGTTAACGAATGAATAACACATCACATTTTACGTTCAGATTAATCCATTTAACTTCATGATTTGTGATTTTATATTATTATATACCTAGTGAATTTATCTGTTATTGCATTGAACAATAAAAATAGTCTTTACATTTTCTTTAATATTTTAATTTACAAACAAGTTATAAGCATTTTGAAATTGTAAATTTGTTATAAATATTAAAATATACATAACTTGTTTTAAAATTAAAATATTACAAAAAATCCCAAACAATATTTTTATCTTTAAATCCAATAACAGGTCGATTCCCTATAAAAAGAAATAATATCAAAAATATTAAATAACTTATCTACTCAAATGGATTATTTCAAAAATCAAACTACACTATAACAATTATAAAAATATTATATTTTATAATAAGCAATTTAAAACAATATGCAAAGATTGAGTTTAAACCTTCGATTTTCACTCTATCTCGTATACAAATGGCTCTAGGGACACGGGACACCCCTTTTTGGGTTACCATAAGACACTATTTAGAATTTTAGACTATAGCTAGCCCATACTGTCGTTCATAAAAATAAATACCATTACTGCGGTAATATCAATAACAGGCGGAGGCGTTACAAAAAAATAGTATCCATATGTGTGGCTCGTGGGATAAATCAATTTCGGTCTCGACCGAAATGCACGTGCCACACACGCCACCCACGACTGAAATAGTTTACTTTCCTCCCTTGCCACAAACATACTATTTTATACCAGCAATTGCCGTGAATTTAAATATTAAATCGAGAGTAATTATTGTATTTTATATTATTTGAATGAACTAAAGCTACCAACATTATTAAAATTAACTAACAAAAACCTGAGGTGTTATAAAAAGTACATTTTGATACCTATAGTCCATTTAAATGTACAGAGTTATGAAATAATTATGACTACATAACTTTTTATAGAATTGAGTATTTATCTACCAATTAATCAACTCTCGTTTTTAAAAATAAATCTAATTTATACACAACAATTTATGAAACATATTGTTATTCGTTTTTTTTTTTTATTGTTTTTATTCTATTCAGGCGCAAACCATGAAATCGGTACGTATCAAGACTGCTTTCGAACAAAATAAAGTTACCGAAATGGTGGTCATGAGATCGTATCTAATGACAAGAGCTAATACGTTGTTATTTCCGACTGGCCGCATTAAAGTAATGTGTGAAATTTCTCAATTCGACTTGTACAAATCGTCGTCTGAAATAGAACTGGTTGACAACGCACCACCAAAATCGGCGCAGGTCATCGCTCCGAGTCTGTCACCACATTCTACAGGTAAAATAAGATTAATCGCTAAAAATTGTGGAAACTGGCGTAGTCTAGCGTACCCCCTATCAATCTACATATTATTATATTATACTGAATATCGATCATTCAATTTTATTCAAACTTTGGTTTAATTGTATACTTACCTAATTATGTCGATAACTGATAAGTACCTGTATAAAGGCACATAATTGGCTGTAATCAATCGAATTTCGTAATGACAAATGAATGAATTATACAATTATAATTTATACTACCCATTTTATTAGGGTCTCATCAGTCATCGTGCTGCTTGATATGGGTAGTACCTACTGTGGTAGATATACAGTATAGTTACTATAATATATCAATCAATAACACATTTAAACATATCTATAGTAAAATTATTGAAAAAGTTACGAAAGCTAAGAATTTGTAAATATAAAATAAATTTTGAGAGGATGTGGTGATTAAGAGAGCCCCTTTTTCCAAATATTATTAATAATTCATTTATAAAAAAAGGTGGGCATGACGGAACCCTACTGCTGTATGTCTGTACAGTAGGTGCCCAGAGGGGTCGCTATAACGGATGTGTTAAATTTAAATTCTATGACATAAAATCATTGTATACGAAAACCGATTCTGAGAGAAGATGGTCATCCGTCATCCCATAATATTACTAAGTATATTTTATGATATTATTGTTATTAAAGTATCCAACTCATTTTACTACTAGGCAATAGTAATACAGTAGGTAAGCTAAAAAATTGCATTTTAAAATGTTATTGCGTGTATACAATTAAAGTGTAGGTACTCTCGATTATCCGCGAGCGGATTATCCACGTTGAGGATTTATCCGCTATCTTCCGCGGAATCGTCTACATACCTATATGTATACAAAAAAATATACATATATTATATCTTTCCATTATAAATCATTATAGGTTTAACTTGGTTGTGAATTTGTGATAGCCGATTACTCGATAACGACGTAAAATACAATTTATTTTTTATTAATACACGTGTACATTGTACATCATTATCGGTTTAGTTGATTTCTAGAAGAACAAGACGATACAACTCTGTGTGACAAAATTTTATTAAAAAAACTTCAATCACAAGTTAAAAAGAAGAGTTTTCAAACGAAGAAGCAACAACTTGTGACTGATTTTTTTGCTCATAAATAATTTATAATTTTTATTAATTTTTCATTATACATACATGCGTATCTTTTTTAATAATATGTAATAATAATTTTCAATTTCAAATTCCAATTTATTTTTTATTATAAAATTTAATTTTGAGGATTATCCGCGAAATTCGTTAATCCGTAGATGTCCTGCCACCCTAATCCACGGATAATCGAGAGTACTCTGTATATAATTATTTGTGGAGAAATAATAAAATTGTGTACTAGAAGCTAGTAAAAATAAATTAAATTAAAAAATTATAAATATATACTTAAAAATGTCAAGTACCCTCGATAATATGTTTAAATTGCAACAAAATATATATTTAATAAATATCTTATTCTTTATTTAAAAATCTAACTTCGTCCAAATTTAAACATAAAATATCTATAAAAAAATAGTTTTTTTTAGATTTTATGGGTTACAGAATGAACTATTTCTAAGAAACATTGTTTTACATATTCAATCCTTAGCTGAAATAAATATAACATTTATTATGTTTTTAGCTACCTACAAAATTATTTGAAAATTATAGTGATTTTGATGAATTTTGTCAACATTTGAACTCTAAATGCTGATAAAAAAAAAACCACGCTTATAAATCTTTAATATTTCTCAAATACTATTATTATAACTTGTAAGAATCTTGTATCACATTTTCAAGCTTATTGAAAGAGACAAAATTTTTTTGATCGACAGTAAATAACCTAAAAAGTGTCAAAATATTTTGAAAATTGTATTTTGAATGGAAAATAATAAAATATTCGATGAAATTTCTAACGACTTTTTGTTTTTGAATAACAACAAAATCAGAAAAATTTTCGATGAGAATTCGTTAATTTACGGGTCGTGGCCCATGGATAAATATTCAATGTCGAAAAATTTTTCAAACACTCATCAAAAATGAATTTGACTTCCCAGTAAACTTTATTTTTTGTTAAAGTTAGGAAAACTTCCAAGAAATCTTATATTAAATATTCAAACGTTAGCTATAAAAAAAAAATGTTTATGAATTCCCAACTACAAAATAATTTTCAAAATATTATGATTTTGACGAAATTAACAAAATTCTAACTTCAAACGCTCATCAAAAATCATCGTAAATTTACAGACACAAATTGCCATATAAGCATTGGATAAAATTTTAAATCTACTTAATCAAGGTCATTTGTTTTTGAGTTACACCAAAAAAAGTCTAACTAAGTCGATTTTTGTCAAAAACTCGTTTCGTGTAAAAATATGTTGTTCATAGTTTTTATTTTTGTGGGTTTTCCCGAGACTTATGATAATACGCTACTTGAAATTTGTACTTTTTACTACCCAAAGAAATTACCTTTTCTACCAGAAAAGATGATTAAGCAGAAAATTGAAGCATTTTTAAAAGGAAAGGCAAGACACTACAAATAAAAAAAAAAAACATCATTATAAAATTAATATATGCCCCCTCAGAATCTAAAATGTTGCAACATATTACACTTGAAGCAGTGGCGAGGCCAGGAGATTTTTCTTTAACTACTTCAGGGGTTGGTTTAACTGGAATCTTCTATAAGTTTAGCATACTGATATCGAAGTTTTAAAATTTAGGTTTCAGTTCCAGTATGGCTTAACAAATTTGTATTTGCAGTAACTCGCATAGAACATAGAAATTAATTTTTATTTTTCTTAAAAATTTCGTGGATGTGATTACAGCCCCCCCCCTATAACCTCCCCTGGCTACACCACTGACTTTATGTATGTTGTAAAATATAAAAACATACACTTTGAAAATTGTTATATTAACAGCAGTTAACGGCTACAGAACCTACTACAAGTTACAACAATGATGTGAAATGCATTAGAAAACGTTTTTTATTTTTTCATGTATAGAACTATAGAAGTATGAAAGTATTACATACCTAATAATGTAACTAACTTTCACTAAAAGTAACGAAGATTCTCGATAGGTATTCCAATCTGTATTATCTGATTTTGAGAAAGTGTATTTACTTTTGCATGTCTATTGTTGCATGAACATATTGGTAAATGGGAGACAAATATAACAAAATATTAAGCCACTGATCATTTCTATATAAATATTAAATATTAACCATTTGTTCTTATCGTAAAATATTTCTAACTTTTAGGTAAAGCTCCGAGATTACAGAATTGGGCATCGATTACGTTCATCGTGTTGTTTATCGCCAACACCAAACTACTGTAATCATAGGTAATATTCATAACTGAGATGGAACTGACCGGCTACGTTACACAATTATTCAAATAATACAATAAAATATAAAATAATAGAAAGTCGATATAGTCTTATAATACATAAGATAATTAAAAATATATATTATAATGATGTTTACCTATTGACCTGTGCAAGCACTAGATTTTTTAAGTTAATGTGTTCTATTAATTTGTTGATTATGTGTAATTATTATTGTTAAGCTGATAAAAATAAATTATTTGGTATAATAATGGTTGTTATTATTTATTGTGTAACAGTTATGAATATTATTTTTGCCAATGATCATCTTCTGACCAATGGTCACTCTACAGTTCAAGATGACAAGAGCAAGTAACAGATTTATTTCAGAGTAAAAATCTCGGAGACCGTTATTTATAAAATATAATGGTATTATAGGTAAAGTATTGCCTAATAAATAACATTCCATGAGCTTTTGGGGTGAGCGTAAGTAAGTAAAAGGAAGTAAATGGATGTACCAACCTATATTAAACTATTTTGCCAATGTGTAAACATATTTGAGGCGTTGAGCTAAGTGCCTAAGTACATCAATTGTCAAGTGATAAAATCGAATAAGCACATATTTTAGTTGAATAAAAAAAAATGTTAACAACAATAATAATACCTACCTAGTACCTACTTACACATTTAACCTTGGAAAGTAATAGCTATTGCCTATTATCATAGGAGTCATGTCTAGTGTCTACTTACCCTAATACGAAATACTGGATAGATAGGTACACAACTTTTCGGAAGAAAGTGTGAAAACTGAAGAAAAAAATTAAAATTTAGGTAATATAAGTATGACTAATACTAATAATTTTGCATACAGTAAGTGGTAGAATAAAATATTTTACAACATCCACAAATATTTAGATATTACATTAGGTATAATATTACGTATAAGAAGTACGAGTGTTGAACTGTGAAAATTGGGATTTATCTATGTCGTATAATATTGTAATAGACTGTGGTGCAAAACTAAGACACGTACCAAGTGTCCGATTAAGTTTACATAGACAGGTACATAGAAAGATCGACTTATTTGCATTACGACATTAAGCTTGCAATTAATGAACAAATCTCAGATATTTATAAATTATAAGAACTAGCGTATGAAAACATTGCAACACCTATAATATCAATAAGTCAAGCAATAATAATTGAAAGAGAAATATCATACCATTAAAATGTTAATAATAAAATCGTGCAAAAAATCAATGAATGAACGTCTTGGTGAAATAAGTGAAGCTGAAAAAATATGTTTATTTATTGTATTATTTCTTTGTACAATAGCCTATAAATTTGTCGGAAGGGCAATGCTCCGATTGTTTACATTATTCAATTCACTTTCATCTACCTAATCGTCTGCAATGTATTAGGTAGTTTCTGTATTTCTAAATAATAAAACATTTATTAAAAACTTTATACTAATAAGTTATTAAAGTAAATACCCTATAACTGTAATATTAATATTAAGAATGTATGAAAAACTCGGTACCACTAATAGCCCTGCTTACAGGCATTAGAAAGTATTATATCCTAGGTAAAAATAAAATAAATACACTAGAGATATTAGGCACCTATGCGTGATAGGTCACGTCATAAAAATGGTCAATATAATTATTGACCACCTATATGGCACTCTTGACATCGAAAGTGATAATAAAATTGATAACAAACTATATTGATGGGAAAAATTGTGTGTTTAATTTTGAGACATCTGGTATACCTATTACTTGTTTGCTTTTAATAGCCATACTAAATATTTCCATCTAAATTTTAGCTATCATATTTTATGAGATATGTCATTGACCATAATTATCCACCTGCCACCATTATCCCCATCTACCACTACCGCCGCCCCGACCGAGCTGCAGCGGGCTTCAGCCGATTCACCGTCTGCCAATTCCATCCAGAAGCCGGTGGTTTCGGCAGGCCTAACCGAAATGGCGAAATTTTAGTAAAAAATTACGCCAGTCCTGCTTTTTGGTATTATATCTCGATCAGAGGCGTGGCGAAGGAGGTATTTGAGAAGCAGTCGCCTCTAAGTTAAGGAGTGGTGAGCGATTGAGGATGGTAATGGCAATAATATTGTATTATTAACTATAGTTCTTATTTTAGTTATAACTACAACAGGTAGTTACACATATATTACAGATTACTGCGAATACCTTATTATCCGGTTATTACAGTACTGCAGGGTGGGTGAAATATTAAACTAGCCTTTAAAAAATGTCAAGTTCTTAACGCCACTATATCTTGTTGGTACCCCATAGCATGTCCAAATCGAGACGCGTCATCCATGCTGGTGTAGGTTTGACCGGCAACATTGGACGTGTTGGCAAGCCGTGACATCGCAGGTCCGCTGCCACTGGGACAATCTAGTTCCATGCCAAAAATTCCTATGCGATTTAGTGTGGCAGAGACCAAGTCCAAGGTCCTGATTCGAGTTTCCTGCATAAAGTGAGGAAGTTTCTACAAAGTTTCCTAAAAACGGCTTGATGAGTGACGACCCAAGTGACAGCAACTGCAGTCTATTCTTAGTATAAACATTTTAATAACTTGGAAATTACTCGTTTGAATTTTTAGTTAGGAAGTACATCAACATTAAAAAATATATATATACCCACTGAATAATTTACAGTAAAAATAGATTGATTTAAAAAAATAAATATGTTTATATCACCGGCCCACACAGGACACCCCAAAAAAGTTTTAAGAATTTGAAAACATTATCTTTGGGTGTATTTAAAAATTCCAAAAGTCAAATTTTGAATAAATTTATTACTAAAGAAAAATCCAAAATATGGGTTTAAAAGATTTGAATATGCTTGGTAAACCACTTTATATATATTATCATTAAGTACAGGTAACAATGAATTTTGGTTCCACCATTGAATATTTTTATTGAAAGAACGAGAATAACATCTTTTTTTTTTTACCTCTGTATTGATATTAAATTGAAAATATGCAGCAAACCTATAAGTTTAGGTATGCACGTATGGTATATAGGTTGGAGAAAAAATATTATAACATTAGGTAAGTACCTATTTAGCAACACACGGAAAATAAAAACGACGCATTAACTATACTTGCCATTTGTGGTCTTGTTGGTACCTATTTTTTAATATCGAAAGTATTTCAATTTCTTCTGTTTGAAATTGGATTTTCAATTTGCATGTAAATGTGACAATGAGCAAGACAACAGAGCCATCGATCGAATAAACGCGTCTTGTCAAAATGGCTATTACGGACACCCGGTGGCCGGTGTGTATAAGTAAGTATATAAAACACGACATAGGTTTTTGATAAAATAGCCAATAACAACGGAGATAATATAAAAGATGAACAGAATTTAACCTAACCTTTCGACTAGGTTTTCATATTAATGTCACAAGGCCACAGCATCTTAATTATTCCTAAGTGCATTCATGCATATATCGAAGTCCTCCTATAAATTTCTATGATAAAATGGTCAATTTCAAAAAGCATTGATATTTCTATTTAGTTAAAATTGTATTAGTTTAACTTAAAAACGTGTTCGGTTTTTAATTTATTTTAATATCCCCTTTTTGATTTTTTTCTACAATTAGGTACGTATATCTATGACAATACGACACAAACATCCATTTAGGGCTTAAGCATTAAAGCATTAAATATTGTAAACAACGTAGCTGATTATTTGATATTTTTATGTTGAACGATATTATTTAATATTTATTTGGTAGAAATGAATTTGACCATAAAAGAACACATAAAGAGGGGTAGGTAAACCATTTCTTTCGGATATTGCCCAACGCGTTTTCATCAGTATGGTTATTTTTCCAGTTCGATTTTATCAGATTTTTATTACCTACACCCAATATTCTTGTTCGTCTGGAGCTTTTTTATTTTTATCTTTTTACTACCCCCCTCGATACGGATTTATCGTTTTTATTTTACACAACGTCGATCCGTTACGTTTACAGGACCACATAAACCGCAGGCTTTAAAAGGCGGATAGATCATAGAAATAGAAAATAAAATTATCTTATGCTTCTTCAATCGCTTCATCCGTCAAATCTTGCTAGCAAACGTACATAAACTATATCGCACGATTTATGGCAGCATTTTATTACAACACAACACTCAATGCAGATAACATGACATTTTTTAAATGCCACCATACTCAATATTATATAGGTAGGTGCCATATTTTATTACTACTAAAAAATTGTTATGTTGCCATTTATTAACGGATATAACGTAAAATAATATATAAATAATATTATCACATAATAATAATTCTTAGGTAAAAATTGAGAATAGATACCTAGGTGCCTACATTGATCGTTCCGAGTATCATCCATGTCAAATATGTTTATTTTAATTCAATTTGACTTCATATTACCATCATTAGGAAATATCTAGATCATATTGAAACTAAATCAAGATAAAATGTGTTAATATTATGAATTATAACTATTCAATAAATAGAAAACTAAATAATATAAGTTCCTCTTACTTCCGCTCTAATCCTTTCACAACTACTCCACCTACCATCATGAAAGTCTTGTCAGTTTGAATAAATTAACTAGGCCCGCTGAATTACTGAAACACTCAAACACCAATTTTATTATTAATAGTTATTTATAAGTAGGGAAGGGCATTTAATGCAATATAATTTTTTTCTAGCGTTTTATAACCTACCTAGTTCCTTGAGTGGGTGTGTTTTAGGTAATATTGATTATTTTAATTGGGCTTTTTTTGAAAAATTTAACTTTTTAATTTTTAGGCATTTTTAATGTTTTTTACGTACCTAGTTTTTTATTTTTACACTTATAGGGAATTTTTCTCAGCATTATAATTGTCTTATAGGTACAATAATATTAACAGAATTGGTATAGGCACAATAAAGCCAGATAGTGACGAACGTGAATAATATAGGTAAGTAGAGCTAGGACTTCAATGATTTAAAAAATACACAAAAATGCAAAAATGACCTTACTCTAAAAAATGACCAAAAAATGTAAGTACTTAGATGAGCGAAAAAAATTTGATTTAAATAAAATTGCATTATTAATTATGATTTATTCGTTTTTATATTACACAAAAAGGCAAAACAATTTTTCAAGAAGTAAATTAAACAAATATATTCAAATTTGAGTTGACTTGCGTGTTTGATTACTTTTATTACTTTTTCGATTCATACCCACCATGCCGAATCCCAATTCGCCGACAACTCAGTTTGCCGACAAATATCCCAGTTTAAAATATTTTGAATATTATGTTATTAATATAGTTTCAATTTTCCAGAGTCGCCAATAGATGACAATAATTTTATCGAAAATGGGTATAACAGCGATAATATTATGGTATGTTGTCGATATAAGTTCAAAGGTACTATTTTCATAAGAGTATTTTAGGGAGGTTACTAGTTGAAATTACTTGTACAACACATATAAAAAAAACTTAAAAGAAACAAAAATTAGTTTAAATACCTACACAAAATGAACGCAATATTTGTAAAAATGTGTTTAAAAATGCAATAAAATCCAAAATAAAAATTACACATTCTAATTTGTTATACCACGAAACAATTTTAGTTTTTGGTTAGAACAGACTGTACAGCACGTCTTAAAGAAAAAAATGCAAAAGTCACCAAAATCCTAGCTCTAGTAATAAGTAATAACATAACAATCGCCGTTTGCTGTTCCCATAATATTATATACAAATAATTAAAGGGGCCATAAAAATATAATTTTCTATTTAAATGTTTCTTCACTAACTTCCAACACTAACACCAGCAATCAGCTGGTCACGTATATATTATTATATACACGAACACACACATGCAATTCCGTTTGCTCCTTTACAATATTGCGTATTTTGAATTAATTTTAATTAAACAATTTTTTTTTACTTTTTAACATACTGATATACATTTTTGCATTTTTCAAAAACATTTTTGTCGATTTCTAAGGCATTAAAAACCCAGCAGTTTTCAACAGCATAATTATAAATTTACCTTGTCCCATTCCTTGAGGCAACCGGAGTTAACAAACTAATTAATAGTAAAAATTGATAACTAAAAAAATATATAAGTAGATATACTGTACTGTATTATATTCAATAGGTATCTTCTTGTAAATATTACTAATTTATTTAAGAAAAGATTTAAGAACATAAGAATGTTAACATTATAATGAAAAATTATTAAAAATTATAAATTGTAAAACAATTAGTAATTACTATTCCAATAATTGATTGCTCTCTAAAACATGATGTAATCTGGTGATCATCTAAATTCCCAATTTTTTTTTATTCAGTCTAACATGTTTTGATAGTCAATCTTGATTCTAAAAATTCATGAAGTTAGGTTCTGAGATGATCAAAATATACATATATAATTTATTTATTCATTTGTGTAATTAAAAATGGGTATTTATTTATTTCATTAGTATTATTCTTTTTTGATTATTTTAGCAATAAGATTTCCAATATCAACAATAAATTAAAACTAAGACTATTAGATAATAACTACTGATTTATCACGAATAGTGTAACATTGTCCTTAATAACATGTCCAAAAGTTATTTAATTCTTTGATACCACATTATTTTATTTTCCACAATTTTAAATTGCCTAATGAACCTCAACTATATTATATATTATTATGAAAAAACAATAAATTATCAAGTTGGTAATCACTAGTAATAAGTAATAACACTAATAATACAACAACCCTGTGTATTAACAGATATTTATAATCTATTCAAATATTGAGACAGTTAACTTTGTACATTAATTATTATTATTCAATAATTAACAGCCCAAATAATGGTAATAGATAAATTTATCATTGCATAAGTAAATTAATGATTTTATTTTTTTTTTAATTAAAAAATATATTTATGATTTTATTAACTTGGTGAACACATAAAAAAGCATCGACTAATAACTATACATTTTTTCTTAAAATGGACTTGTATAATAGCTATTAAAAGAAATAAAACATAATTTAACAATCAAATAATATGGATACATAAAATTAATATTTTTAAGACTAATTATTTTCCAAACACACCAATACTCTTTGAGTCTTCTTTTCCTTCTGAGTACTTTTGATGCCAATCCAAGTTTCTTTGCATTATTGTCTCACCGCGGTCACGAGCTCTCTTGCCAGTAATAACCATTGCAATGCAACCCAAAATTATTAAGAGCATTGTATAGTTAGCCACTTTGATTCGTACAACAGAACGAACTTTGTTCCATACTTCAGGTCTGCACACAATAAAACACAATTTTATTAGTTTTATATTATGGTTTAGAGCAGATAATTTCCATATAATTTCTGGTTATGTCAAAAGTAATATATTTTATACTCAAACATTTTAAATTCTGAAAGAAGTATTGAATGCATAGGTTTTTACAATTTATGTATTGTTTTTTTTTGTGTCTTCAGACACTATTTTTCGATTAATTTAATATCATTTAATTTTTATTTGCACATCAAATTATCAAAGACATAAGCACGCAAAGTCTCTAAAATCTGGTAGTGCCTATATATTATAGTGCACTTTCTAGTTGACAATTTTATAAATACAACAAATGAACATTTTATTTTTTGAAAATTTTTTCCGTAATAAAGTTAAATAATATATTGAAGCCCTGCTATATGTATACAAAATATTAAACTACAGAGTGCACATAGTAGATTCTTCAACATTTTTTCAAATTCACTTTAAAAACGTTATATAAAATTGAATTTGTTTGAAATGTTCCTCATAAGCTGTAGTTACAACAATTAAAAAATATCAAAACTACATACTCAGAATTTTTTTTCATAAGCAAACATGTAAAACGTAAAACTGCAATTAAGTGCTTACACAACTTAAGTATCTAATAAGAATGTATTATAAGTACCACATATATACTTATCTATAGTACTGATTAAACGTACATGCATGTACAATGTACACTGTAGATGTTACAGTAATTTCTTATCAATATTTATTTATTAATCAAGTCAGTGTCTTATTTATAGACACTAAGGAAGTTGTTTAATAAATGTGTGAAAGGAAATTTAATAAAAACTTAATGTTGAGTTTAAATTTAAATCACTTAGCTATGAAAGCAATAATATCTTGCTAAACCTATTAAGTACGAAAATAAAGGAACAACACTACAAGTTAATGTTACCAAGTGAAGCTACATCATTCAAATTTAAGATAAGAAGGTCAATATTAATACCACTATGTAAAAAGGAGACAAAACCAAGTGTTTTAAGTGAAATAACTACAAAGGAACATTGTACGGATATTATGTGTTTGCACACCTACATAAATGTGAGTGAAAGTTAAAACAAATATAATATAATTAACAACAAAATAATGCATACGTGACATGATCTGGAACATCTTTCAGTGACGGATATCGTTTAGCCCAGACACACATGATTTTTCTTGTATTTGTAAGTGGGAGTTTAACATCTAAAAATATTCAAAATAAAATGTACTCTATTTGAAAGATGTTATTGTTTTTGTCCCAACATATAGCCTTTATATCGGCAACACAGTCAACTCAGAGTTGAATCTCAATAATGTGTTAAGATAAAAACATCTCAGTCAAACACATATGTTTTTGTTTACTTAAAATTCCAAATAATTTTAATTTTAAACTATTGAACTTTGAGATATTGACTTTATTTCATACTATTGATTACCTACTTGTATCTATAATTATTAACTATGTAAAACAGATTTATAGTTTTATAATAGTTATATTATTTTCAATATTTTAAATTTAATAGTACATATTAAATGAAATATTAATCCTGAATGTAATTAGAGTTAGTGACTATCATTAAATTGTACTAGGAATAATAATATGTTGGATATATATTAAATTTATGCAACATTTAAATAGTGGTTACATTGTTTTTTCTAACCAATAAATAAACTAATTAATCACCAAGGTTAGGTTAGGTTAGGATTTTTAATATAGTTTAAATTTGTATACTTTTGTAGAGTCTATAATAAGGAAAATATAGAATAAAAATAATTTGTTGTTGTAGAAAAGTACAATACTATTGATTAACTCCACCTGGCACCTACCTATTTAAATTATTACAAATATCATGTATTATTATAAATAACTTATTACCCAATTTCAGCTAATACAAAAATACTGTTGTATCATATTATTATTAATATATCATCATTAACTTAACTAAACACATTTATTTAAATAAATTGTGCATAATATTAGACATTGAAAAACGTTATTTTGTAGTTAAAAATTTGTTAAATAGAATTTGTTTTTATTAAGTACTATGTATTTTAATATTCAAAGCACCCTCAACAATTTAATTCTGGAAAGTTGCCATTAATGCCAATGATAACAATCTAAATCTATTTTTTTTAAACATATTACACATTTATATTTATTTTATTTAATGCCCTTTATTTTAGAACATTTAAGCAGTAGGACCCTATGTTTATTTTTACACTAGGCCTTCCATGAAATAAAATATTCAATAAAAGATTTGAAAATGAACCGACGACAGTAGAACATTTAAGTTTATAATACTAATCGACCTTAAAATACATTTTAAAGTAAATTTACTTGAATTGAATGAAGGCGTTGAATTTGTAGGCGGGGGGTTCGATGGAGTGGCACTTGGGGTAGTATACTTTTTAGACATGTTGAACAATCCATTTTTAAAGTGTCTTCCAAACCTTGGAATAATATTCATCGCGGACGTCTAGTCGGTACAGGTCGGCACGAAAGTTAATAATCAACTGGAAGTCTGGAACAGTCAACAGTGGTGTACCTTCTTAGAGTCACGAATGCCATTATTCTGTATTCATAATCAATCATAATCATAATAAAAATTATCTAAATGGATTGATAACGAACCGTACAGCTGATTAATTGGGAACTGATAACAATATCAGATTTCACGTTGCCGCAATCAACACGAAATCGTGTTTTGGCGGATGGCGATCGGCGAAAGTATCTACGACCAACGGATCAACTCATGTGCTAATTAAAATAATTTTTTTCTCAGAAAGTTATAAACATAATTATAAGTTGTTTAAGTATTAAATATTTTTGTTACATTCAAGTTCAGGATTTGTCTGAACAATTTAATTGGATTTACCGGTTATAATGTCCGCGTCATTGGCAAACAGAACTTGCGAGACGGCCGGATGTGGTTCGAAAGCAAATCTTCAATGTCCCACCTGCATTAAACTTGACATCCCCGGTTCCTATTTTTGCTCTCAGGTAATACTATAAATTATAATTTTTCCACATTTTGGCACATGATGAGACATGTGTTGCTATTCTAACCAGTGTGTATATCGTAAGCAAGTCACCGAATAGCTATATGTGGTCGATACATTATCTGTTTTATTTTCCTTTTTGCTTGAATAATCTTAAGCATTCAGCTTAGTCCGGCCACAATCAATACTTGATTTTTTTAGCACTTTCATGGCTGCCTGTCATTAAACGTCTGAATTATTACGATAAGAATGCATGGGCCACAAATGTACATTTTTCTATTTAGTTTTTCTTATGCAAACTTTATTTCAGTTAAGACGAAGATATTAATAGTGTCTGCATAATGAGCTTCATAAATATGGTACTTTTTTAACGAATTCATTGTCTACGTACATAATTATTATATAACCAAGTACATAAAAAATGAAATACATAAAATATGTTTCTAATACTTTAAATTCAAGTTACCATAAATGTAGATGGTAGTGATACCTAATTTAAATTTATATTATATCAATTTTTGTATTTTAATGTTAACCTTATAATTTCAATTTTGAAACTGAAAAAATATTTGATGATAGTAAACAATTATATTCTTGTTTAAGTTCCAACATTTCATATTTTTATAAAATTGTTTACCTATTCTGTTTTTTATTTTTATAGGAGTGTTTTAAAGGGAACTGGTCTACACACAAAGCTCTTCATAAAGCTGGCCGTAAGTGTAATTGTCTTATAATTATATAAATATAAAAATTATTATTTTTTATTTAATGTTTTTGTAAAAATTATTTAAAGGTTTTAAGATTTAACTATTTATATTTGTATCATTAAAAATTAACATATTATACAAAAATTTCTAACATTAAATTCGATGGGTGATCTAATTATTTTACTCTAAAAATCTTTCTAATTAAATGTGTGTGTGTATATCAAATAAAGTTTGGCTGTCAATTGACAACATATTACTTTAAAGCTATCATTTGAACATTATGTTTTTCCTAAAAAAAAATTTTTAATTATATTACTTGTTATGTATGAAAATTAAAATAATGTTTTTCATTAATTTATAATATTATCATATCCATGTCTGAAAATCTAAGCCAATGTATGTATAACAATATTATTAACTATTCGACTTCGATTTTGAACAGTCTCGATCAACAAAAAGTCTATAAGCGTCAAAGGAAAGTGTTTGTCGATTGACCAATGAATAACCAAGGCTTGTATAAGGCAAATATACCGGTTTACCGGTTTAACATTGAAGAACAAGTTAATTTTTTGTTTTAAAATATGTTTTTGTATTACTTAATTAATATATATATATTTTTTTTTATTTTGTTACAGAAAATTCAAATGGTATTATTGAGCCATTTAATCCATGGCCAGATTATGTATTTACAGGTAAAATAAATATTATCACTTTATATGAAAATGATCATTCACCAAATTTTAATTTAAAAAAAATATATTTAGCTTATTTATAATTATTATTAAAAATCATAAAAAGTAAACCATACTGTGAAAAGTGAAAGTGAAAGTAGAACATTTATAAACAGTCAATGAAAAAAGACAGAAATAAAAATAATTTTTAACTAAGCATTAATTATAACTCTTAGTAACCATTTATTATGATCTATGTATTAGTTATCATTATAAAGACCGGAATTGTATGCATTTTCATATCATAATGACTACTGAGTGTATGCACAACTTAGGGGTTCAAAATGTGGGCGTTTTTAAAGCTGATTTCATAAAGGAAGTTTTATTTTGCATATTGATACATATTTGAGGGGTGAAGGCATATTTTGTTATTAAATCATATCATTTGTGTATTTTATACACTTTTAATAAAAAAATAACTTTTTAATCTCTCATTGGTCCTTTTTAAAATAAATAGTAAAACCTGGTCTCTTTAACTACAAATTCATCAATTAAACAATATAAAAAATGTTTATTTCTTAGGTCCATTAAGTCCTCATAGAACATCTCCTGCACGTACTGTTCCTGGACACATACAAAGACCTGATTACGCTGAACATCCCGATGGCACACCTTTAAGTGAACAATCAGTAAAATTATCATCACACATTAAAGTATTAAATGATGAGGAACAAGAACAAATGAAAATTGCTTGCAAGGTACTTAGATACTTGAAATTACCTACTTAATATGTGATTAAATTAAAATTATATAATATAAATTAAATTAATGTGGCAATGATACAATATATATACCAAGGATTTGTTGTTAATTTTATTTTATTTTTAAGCTTGGGCGAGAAGTTTTAGATGAAGTAGCATTAATGATTGATGTTGGAATAACAACAGATGAAATTGATAGAGTTGTGCATGAAGCGTGCATTGAAAAAGAATGCTATCCATCGCCATTAAATTATTACAAATACCCAAAATCATGTTGTACATCTATAAATGAAGTTATATGTCATGGAATACCTGACATGCGTGCTTTAATCAATGGAGATATTTGCAATGGTTTGAAAAATAAAAATAAAAATTTTTTTAATAATAATAATAATATGTATTATATTTTGCAGTTGATGTAACTGTATGCCATCGAGGATATCATGGTGACTTGAATGAAACATTTTTCATAGGAAATGTTTCCAAAACTGCAGAAAAATTGGTAAATGTTACTTGGGAATGTTTAGAAAAGGCTATAAATGCAGGTAAAATAAATATATTATTTATTAAGTAATTATTTTAAATGTATTGAAAATTGTTCTTATTGTACAGTTACACCTGGTGAAAAATATAGAGAACTTGGTAATATTATACATAAACATGCTCAATCCAATGGATTTTCTGTTGTTAGAAGCTATTGTGGTCATGGTATTCATCAACTGTTTCATACGTCTCCTGGAGTTCCGCATTATGCTAGTAAGTCCTACAAATATATTTTCCTAAAAAGTGAATTGTTATTTAATTATTTACTATTTTAATGTAACAGAAAATAAAGCTGTTGGTGTAATGAAACCTGGGCATACATTTACAATTGAGCCTATGATATCTCAAGGTAAGTTAGTTACTTATTTAAAATAAAAAAACATGTTTAACAAATTAGTTTATTCTCATGAAAAATCTAATTATGTGACGTTGTTCATACATTGTACATTTGTACATTTCCTTCATAACTACTCACTTGTTTTAAACATAATAAATTGTTCACTATACAATTGCAGGTAGTTGGCGAGACAAGTGTTGGCCAGACAATTGGACAGCTGTGACCGTTGATGGATTGTTATCGGCACAATTTGAACAAACTTTATTAGTTACCGATACTGGAGTTGACATTTTGACCAAACGTTTGGGCAATAATGGAGTACCGTACTTCATGGACAAAAAATCCTAATACATGGATTCTATTATGGCATTATGTATTAAAAAAATATGAATTTAAACTTGTGAAAAAAATAATATTTTTACTAAAGTGTATTTGAAAAATTTTAAATATATTGATGCTGAGTAAACATTCATACTTTTTTCGTATAGGTATTAGGTATACACACATTTTTGGTCAAACTTACTCTGGATCATACTTACCTATCATACAGGATTTTATCCTAGGATATGTTGATCTCTATCCTATTTTTTTTTAAATGTTTATCCTAATTTATACAATAAAAGAGTTTTGCTTAAAATGCTAAATTAAATACTTACACAAATACACAATTTATTATATTATAATTTGTGTTTTTATTTTCACTAAATCTGGCTTTATTGTGTTGCCATTAATCAGCTAGATAACTTCAAGCCTCAGTACGCATAACTACCTTCCAAATCACTAATAATTGTACTCTAATCTATATGAAGTATTTATATTTATTTATTTTAAAACCATGGTTCTTTCTTGTTTATTAATTGTTCAACAATTATTGAAATTTAATGTTGAAGAAAGATAGGTACCTAAGAATATTTAAGAGTACCTATAGTTGGTAAGCTGTTTCAACAAAAAAATATGTATTTCTAAATTCTAATCAAGTAAATGACATCTACATATTTTTATTTTTAAACCTTTTGGAGTTGGCCAGCTAAGACGAGGGCTGTGGTGCTCATTACACCCAACTCCCAAATTGTGTTTAGTCATTTTAACCTTGTCCTTAACTAACAGCTTATGATATAGGCCTATATTAGAAATGGCAAATCCGTGACACGGTCACACTCTTTTAGTGACACTCGCAGGGGCGAACGCAAGAAAAAATTATGGGGAGGGGATGGTTTGAAAAAATTTAAAATATTCATAAATATACCATTCACACTGTATTTTCAATAATTTCGCCCCCCCCCCCCAATACGTTCACCCCTGCAAATTCCACTTTTTTCTTATCATTCAAGCCATGGATATGGAAATTTCTTAAGCTTAAAAAAAGGGACATCAAATTATTTGAATAGCTGGTACAGAAAAGTTATGACCCGTATGGTTCTTAGTGTTTGGCAAGTTAATAAAAAGGAATTCATTCTTTTAAAAAAAAAAATACTTTCCTTTCGAAAATGAACGAGTTCATTTTTTAGTTTCAAATAAAAAAAAATTTTATTTAATCATCAATTGTTTTTTTTT